TAAATTATTACATATCTCTATGTGGTTTTGTCTATTACTACAAGACTTTCCTAAAGTTTAAAATGTCCACTTGAACCCTAGTAATTTTAAGTAAAGTGAAAACTGGATGGAAAATAGCATTTATAATGTCCGTTATTTGAAATTTTAGTGTTATCCTTAAATACTAAACATATAATAGGAGGTTGACCACATTGCACCAACGACCCATACCATAAAAGAATTATGTAGATACATGAGAATAACAGTTAGATTAAGAGGATGTTTCAAGAGTGTATCTGGGTCAATTAACTAGAGTTACTTTTCACTTTATATAAAAAGTAAAGGAAAATTATGTCGATATTTTAAAACGTTAAAGTGATCGTATGAGAATAGATATAGTTTCAACTTAGTCCTATTCATAGTCCAACAAATCAAGGGGGACAATCCACTAGATTTGGAAGCAACCTGTTGAGCTTAACAGTGTTCTATTCGCAAATTTAACGAGTGAAAATCAAAATTTCTGTCAGTTTTTAAAAAAGCTGTCAATATTGGGCTAGAAAGTTTGAATGTGCAACCTCTTCCCTAAATGGTATGCTGGAGCTAATAAAGCAAGTAGCAACTACAAAAACACAAGGCTTTTTGGTGTTTAACGGAAAATTTTAATATTTTAAAACGTTTGTAATAGCTTATGTATATTGTTTTATTATATTATGGTATCTACTGGTTCAACCAATCGGACCCATAGTTGAACTGCTAGCGTACTATATTGGTCACTTTATGATGTTGATAGCTGTTTTGGATTTAAGAACTAGGGCAATGTATGAACTATATGGTCTAAATAGTCATTTACCCAAAAAAAAAAAAAAACGCACGTTTTTGTGTTTAGCTAACTTTTCTGCTTTGAGGTATCTCCAATGTACGTCTGCAGTAATTCAAAAGAGGTTTCCAAGTAGTGATTAGGTAGGGGTGATAATTTTTAGTACAACATGACAACACAAATCAAACATGACTCAAAATTGACAAGTTTCACACGATTCGTAACTAACAAGTTTAACATGACTTGGATTTATATGAGTTATTGTTTGGTCAACCTGTTAACTGCACAAATGTAATGGGTTGGGTTGACTTAACCTGTAGATTGACTTGCTAACCCTATAGTAATTTAACATTACGAAATCATCCTAGTTCTTGCTATTTTTTTAATCATTTTTTGGTAATAAGTTCTTGCTTTTCTTTGACAAATCCAAAAAAAAAAAGAGAGAAATGAAGGTATGTAAAATGCATGGTTGCACGGGCTTGCAAGTTTAGTTTAAAATTTTGAATTTGAAAATTTAGAAACTTATAAGTTTTTTGTTTTATTGTGTATGACAATATTAGACTTTTTTTTTTTTTGAAACCTTTAAATATTGAGATTTTTTTTTTCTTTAAATATTGAAAATTGGTTTATACTAAGAAGACTTTATTACGTATTATAACTTTATAAACTTTGAAGACTCTTAAGTTTTGTATTTATTCTTACGTATTGTGCCTTCAGAACTTGATTTGTTAGCAAGTTGGTAGCTTGAACTTTGAACGTTCTGTGTCTTTTTTCTTTCCCCCACCAATTATCTGCAAGAAGAAGCATTAAGACAAAACAAACTCTTAGATGCTAAGGAGGCCTTGGTCTAGTGAGATTGCAACATTAGGATTTAGAAATTATGGATTCAAATCTCTTTACTCCCACCCTACTTAAATCTCACCCCTCCTTTGCTTAAAAAATTTTGGAAAAAAAAAAAATTTGGATGAAAAGTTCCATTTCAAGGGATGAAAATTACTTCCACCAGAAAAGTCGAGAAAAAAGAAACCATAGGACTCTTAAATTAGATTGTTACATTCGATTAACTAAAAAAAAAAAAAATTCACCACTGAATTTGAAGTTGATTTAGTGAATTACATTGAGTACAAAGCCACATGAAACATGAAAGAATTCCAGAAAGAAACAGCACCAGTAATTTTCCTTACAACCTAGCAGCACGCATGCAAGTCCGGATACCTAGCTTTACAATCTTTCTTAGGTATATATGCAATGTTATCACATAACTCTCCTACCATTTTTAACTATCTATACAACCTCCTGCAGTTTTAGACAAAGTGAAAGTTTAACTAGAAAGTAGCCTTTGTAATGTTGTTAGTTGAAATGTCAACAAAACATTTACTTGAGTACTAAAAAAAGAGGTTCCATAAATCCACAAGGGGAATACAAATATATGCAAAATTATGGGGAGCTAGGTGAATATTTATGTGAAACGATAGGGGGTTAAGTGGATATTAAAATTTCATAACACGTGTTTCTGTTTTAACATCAAACCATAAGCTAATCTCCCTTTCTTCACCTCGTTGCTCAAATTTCATCCATCCTCTGCTAGGAAAAAGAATTTAAAAAAAACTATAACGGAAATATGGATATAAGCAAAATTGCAGGAGGTTAAGTGAGTATTTATATAAAACAATAGTGGTTAAGTGGATGCTATAAATTCATGATATGTGATTTTGGAAAATGAGTTGCTTTACATCCAATTTTTCACTTTATACCAAATTATAGAGAAATTACGTGGATATTTTGAAATATTGGAAAAGTCGCTGGCAATATGCAACACTACATGAGCTTTATTAACAATTTACCCCTTATATTGAGTTTGCTTGGGCTTGTGCAAAGCTGGACAATTGGAATTGGATCCTCTCCTTGACCCTTTTCTCTTTAACATCCCTCAAAAAAACTAGTTCCGAGAGTTCAGTTTGCGTGGTTCGAATCAAAGGAGATGGTGACGCATTGAGATCGGACATGAATAAAGTTCAGGACATGAAGAGGTCCTCCATTGGTCACATTCTGATTTGGGAGAGACTGGAGCTGTTGTTTAGGAATCGAAGATGATGTTGAAATTGATAACGTTTCCGCCCCAGCCTTGGTTGGTTACATCAGAGAAGAAGCCATCTCCTCCCTCCCTCCCTCAGGAAAGTCTATTTCACTTGCACAAAACTACTAAGCTTGGTCGGTTGAATAGCAAAACAATTCGAACGCCTTTCTTTTTCACATACGCAACAACGAATATGGCCCAGGCCAACGTCACATCCAAAGAAGGAACCAAAACTTATATTTGAATTTTGAAACCATGGCTGGACCGGCCGGTTTGCAATCCACGGTCTGCGGTTTGACTGTTCAGACTATAAATCGGCTTCGATTCATATTTTTAGTTGATTGAAATTAAAACCAGTGAGAACCGTATGAAATGGTTCATACCATTGAACTAACTTTTTTTTTTGTTTCGTTCATTAAATTGAAAAAGAAGAAAAAAAGATTGGGTTCTCCTCAATCTTAAAGGCTAATCACTAAGTGTCATATCCACTTACCCTCTTATCAAGTTTTCATCTCTACTCTCCAATTTTCTTACTTTCTCCAAGCTCCAAGTTTCTTTTTTTCTTTTAATTTAATAAATTTGCAATCTAAGTCACAAAAACATAGTTTAAAGTCAAAGTGTCTAATTCCTAACGACATGAATTTTGTTTAATTTCAGAATATTGTGGTATTTTTTGGGTAGGGTTTAAGATTATTTTTTACAATTGAGATGAAATTTATTTTTTTGAACTTATCATTTAAAAAATTGATTTGTGAAAGTCCAAGTTCTTTAAAAATATTAAACTTTTTATTAGATGAAGTCTTGAATTAGTTCATTGGATATCTTATTTTGTGGACACATATTTATATAATCTATTTTTTTTAAAAAAAAAATTCATTGAGTTGGAGTTGAATCGGTCCGAGTGATTGAATCGTGATTCAAACACCTCATTGGTTCAATTAATGGTCCGAGTTTAGAAACATTAATTGTCTTTGAACAAGAGCCACAGTCAAAGGCTGAAGTTGGTTTACGCCAGCATATTGTATACTTTAATAGACTTAACTCTAGTTGAGCAACACAGAATTTAAGAGTCTAGCCATAGAGGAAACTTCCTTTCTTTCTGCTTTAAAACCCCGCAGTTGTTATCACAATTGGGAGGTGATATTCAATACCGAAAGTTTGGAAGAGTAACCCAATTGGAAAGAAGGATAAAAAAAGCTTTAATTCTTGTTGAACGTCACATCCAAAGAAGGAACCAAAGCTTATCTTGGAACGAGAGCCACAGTCAAACGCTGAAATTGGTTCACGCTAACATATTATATACTTTAAATCTTAGTTCCGCAACGCGGAGTTTAAAATTATCCAACCATGGCGGAAACTGCCTCTCTTTCCCTTTTGAAACCCCGCAGTTGTTATCACAATTGGGAGGTGATATTCAATGCTGAAAATTTGGAAGAGTAACCCAATTGGAAACAAAGATTGATTAAAAAAGAAAAAGCTATAATTATTGTTGCAACCTTCTATTAATGAGATAAAACAATTTATTCTTTTTCATTAACTTCATTCATGCCAGCTAAGTAAGTTTAATTATTTGCACTGATAATCTTTTTATATTCAAAAGCTTAATATATATATATATATATATATATAAGTTTAATTATACCAATTTACCTACTCTCCCAAATAGTCCAATAGTATAATTGTATTGTTGTAATTTTTATATATTACAGATGCTAAACTGAAAAAAAAAAGAAAAAAAAAGTTTTTACTAGCTGAATTAGAATTTTATATTTTTATTCAAAAAACTGGGGAACTTTTCATGACTCAATTATTTTTATTCACCGACCAATCTGAGTAAAAAAGTTTTTTTTTTTTTTGTTAGCATACTTAGTTTTGAGATGATGGTGCGTGTGGCCCAGGAGTCAGATGGCTGGTTTATCTTCTACTAGACGAAATTAGATATGCCTTTAGATGATGAAACTTGAGGGACCAATCTCGGTTAACCTTGGTCAATAAACAATTACAAGGGTTGTTGAGCAAAATTGGTTATATAATATGTACTGGATAGGAGGTCGGTCCTGGACAATTTGACAATTATACCAACAATTTTTTTTTCTCTATCCTGCTACCCAAACTTTGCTTGCAACAATGTCAAACACAGTGAATGACCAGCTTGATCTTAAAGTTGTTAAAGCTCGTAGGATAATTGAATTCCTACAGGACGACCTGAATTGGCTGATGCAAGACCAGAGATCCATTGCTCCATTTTTTGGTTTTAACAAGACGAAAATGATATCCCTTTGCAAAGATCTTACATTCCTGATGTCTTTCCTGGAAAGGGTTCAAGAAACTTCCGTTGGTGACCGTCCAACTGTTGCAGGTTTGCTCAATGAGATTACACCTTTGGTTGATAAACTATTAGATGAGGTTTACTCTTATATACACGATAAAAATCAAACCATAAAAATTGATGGCTTCTTTCAGCGCTTTAACATCAGATCAACAAAAGAGGTCGCCTCCCTCCTGTTGGGTTTGGGCTCTGTTTTCAAATATATATTTAGAATTTTGATTTTTTTTCCTCAGATGGTCTACCTCCAATTATATAGAAATCGGACCGCCTTCCTTCTGCTGGTTTCGCTCAATCTATTCATCCCTTTTCTCAAATGTATTTCTAGAAATTTGCCTCGGTATTCTTGGATGGGCTTCCTCCAAATTTCTAGAGAATTCCTTCAGAGTGCTGAGATGGGCGTCCTCCAATATGTTATACATTTCGCTCAGAATTCTCGGAGGCACTCCCTCCAAGATTATAACCCTCAGCATGCTCTTTTCGTTATTAAGTTTCAGCTTTGGCTCTTTCTATTCCTCTTGCCTTTCGCTTTGTTTTTGAATTCCATGATGAACTTCCACCTATATTCTTGGAAGATTGGTAATTTGTTGAAGAAGGTTAAGTCTGTGGAGCAAGAGGTTTTGGTTACTTTCAACTGCAATGGTGCCATTGATAAAGTTGGAAAGCCTTCTGTTAAAATTTCATTGATACACAACCCCAGTTTTGTTATCAAGGAAAAGATAGTGGTTGGACTTCATGAGGAGGCAAGAGAACTGCTACACAAGCTTATTGGTGGGAGAAAGCAATTGGAAGTGATTTGCATCACTGGGATGGGAGGAATCGGTAAGACAACTTTGGCATGTAGATTGTATGATGATCCATCTGTTGTTAATCATTTTCATTTGCGTGCATGGACATCAGTTTCTCAGTTCTATGAAAAGAGAGAGTTATTCTCTGATATTTTAAGTTCCATCTTGAATGAAAGTGATCCAATATTTTCCACGAGTGATGAGCACATGGGAGAGAAGTTGTATAAGTGCCTAAAGGGAAACAGATATTTGATTGTGCTAGATGACATTTGGGATATTGAAGCGTGGAATGAGATAAAGGTCTGTTTTCCAGAGGATGACAATTGTAGCAGAATTTTGATGACTACTCGAAATGAGGATGTGGCTTCAAAAGTTAGAATTAGTAGTAGTCCCCCTCACCGTTTGAGGTTTTTAACTCATGATGAAAGTTGGGACCTTTTCAAGCAGAAGGTATTTCCTGATAAGAGCTTCCCTATTGAGTTGGTTGAAATAGGGAATCAAATCGTTGCAGACTGTAAGGGCCTGCCTCTTGCAATTGTTGTTATCGGTGGACTTCTTGTGAAGGAGGTCAAGACACAAGAATGGTGGAGACAGGTTGCTCAAAATATAGGATCTGCTATTAGTAATGGCCCAGAGAATATCCAGGATATACTAGCATTGAGTTATGAACACTTGCCATCTTCACTGAAATCTTGTTTTCTTTATGCTGGATCATTTCCTGAAGATTATGAAATCCCTGTGAAGAGGTTGATAAGATCTTGGATTGCTGAAGGGTTTATTCAGCACACTGATGAACAGCAGTTGGAGGATGTGTTACCTGAAGAAGTCAAAAAGAATAAGAAGTTGGAAGATGCGGCAGAGGATCATCTGATAGATCTCATCAGCAGGAGCCTTCTCATAGTCGAAAAGAAAAGACCTGATGGTGGAATAAAGTCTTGTCGTATGCATGATCTGTTGAGAGATTTATGCCACAGGAGGGTTAAGGAAAAGAAGTTTCTGCAGCCCATTTGCAAGTGTAGACAAAATGGTGCTCACAATCCTCGTACATTTTCTGATTGTCAATATTTCCACTTCTATAATTCTCATTTTGTCAATGAAGGAGAAGTGTTTAACAAAGATACATTGCCAGTATATAAACTTCTAAAAACACTGGATATGAGGCATATCAATCTAGATTCATTTCCTAAGATGGTAGCACGGTTACTTCATTTGAAGTACTTGGCACTTCGGGTTGACCGCATTAAGAAGTTACCGCAATCAATATTTGAACTCTGGAGGCTTGAGACTTTCATCCTTGATGGAGATAAAGGAGGAAGAGTTACCTTAACTGTTCACATTCTGAAGATGGTGAACTTGAGACATTTACAAATTTCACAAGAATTGGTACTTCAACAATTTTGGAGGGCATTATCACGGGAGTTACACATGAGTTCTGAAAACGGACCGGCCCTTCTTCCACTCATACTGGGCAAGTTGCAGACCATTTCTGAGCTGTGTTCTCTAAATTCTGTAGAAAACTTGCTTGCAAGCACTCCCAACCTCAGAAAATTAGGATTTCGTTTTACATTATCTAAGAGAAATGAGTCCTTTTCATTTCCCAATCTTTCTGGTTTGAATCAGCTTGAGGCACTGAAATTTGAATATCAAACTTTGGGCATGGTGCCTCTAGGCATTCCTCATCCCGAGATGTTCCCTCCAAGTTTGAAGAAGATGACACTAATAGGTAGTCATTTGAACTGGAAAGAAATGTCAATTATAGGGGAGCTACCTAACTTGGAGGTTCTCAAGATAAAAGACAATTTCTTCAGCGGACCATTGTGGGAAACAAGCGATGACGGTTTTGGCAGCCTCAAGTTTTTGAAACTCTCGCATTTGGATCTTCAAAACTGGATTTCCTATAGTGGTCATTTCCCTAGGCTAGAGTGGCTAGTGATAAATGGATGTCTAGATTTGGAGGTTATTCCATCTGAGATGGGAGAGATCCCTACACTGCAGAAAATCGAGGTGTATCGATCGTCTAACTCTGCAGTGGAATCAGCAGGACAAATCCAAGAATCACAGAGGTCTTCGGTAATGATGATTTCAAGGTCTTTATATACCAGCATTTTCAAGAGTTCTAGACTCTTAAGAGTCTGGAGGGTTTCCTAGATTTAGTTACATGTATATATCATGCAGAGCCTCTTGTGTATTGGCTGTATTTTTTGTCTCTTTCCTTTTTCCAGATATATAGTAATCTGATTCACAGTGTTTCTTACAATAAGAAGTGATTCTGATTCATCTGACTATTACCTGGCTTCTCATTATCAATCTATACCGCTGGTTGTAGCTGGTGCTTTTGCTCACAGTTTATCACAGGCAGTCTATCACTCCGTGATATGATTTCTCCAAGGCCAATGCCGTCCCTGGTCACATTTTTGTTGTTATCCGGATAGAGTTTAATTGAAGGCAAAAGCTCTGCTGCAGGCATCAAGAATCATGATATTAAATTTTTGAACAAATGTAAATGGCATGCAGATCAGATTAAAAAGATTGCCGTACTTCATTTTTTAAATTTATTAATGCATGCCAATTGGATGATCAAGAAGTTTAAACATGGATCATTTGTTTTATGATTCCCGATGCTTACTGTACAGATGGAAATCTCATCCTTTACTTCCAATGTGGTTATCTGCTCATATCATATTTTGGTTCTTTTTTATTTCATAAAATCTAGAAGTTAGAATAATTCAACAATTACATATGGGCGCAATTGGCACCTAGATGGGCTCCTGTTTCTCTATCACTGCATATAGATGGTATAACAAAACTACTACTTATGGAAATATCTTGCTTCACAAATAACAAAAAGAAAGAAAAAAGAGAATAATGGGAAGGATTTTGCATCATTGCACAGAATTAGACTTGTGTTACATATTTGCTTGAAACATGTAAAGTTAACGTGCAGTAAAACAGAATATAACAAGAATATTTTGCCAAAAGATCATGGTAAATCTGAAAAATTATATATAGACAGGATCAAAGTAAATCAGGAGTAAATTCACCAACTTATGGGTATTTGATCTTTTTTTAAGTCAAGTTTAGAGAAATTCACCTCTACATTACCATGTATTTAACTTCCACTGTCTTTGAATATACTAAGTATTTGAATACCTCGTATAGGCAAAATTAACCTTAACTTGAGATATAGTCATGGCCTAATTCCTTAGGATCATGTGTTTTCTCATTACTAGGATTGATGTTTAAGTTCAACCTACAAGGCAAATGTCATCAAGATGAAATTGTCTTACAAGGAAATATTCAAGTTACATGTGCACTATAACCTAAAAAATCTATAAAAATTCAGTTAGCAGCCATAAAAAATGGACTAATTTATGATGATTAGGTACTATGTAATTATCCATGGCCCCATTGTGGACGAAAGTTCAACCACTCAGCAGATTGTTATTACTTCTTCAAAGAAGCGAATTAACAAAGGAAGAAGAAAAGTCAATTTTGATTAGATTTCCAATCTCCATGAATGCAAAAATATGGCCTGAATGAGAATACAACTATTTCATTCCAACACTTGCTTAAAGAAACTAGTCATCTCAACTCCACCACTGAAGTCAGATGGATGAAGCTAAGATTCTTGTGGACTTGCTACTTGAGGACCTTGAATTGGCACTGAGAGATAACTCATATTCGGTCCTTTCTGGAGAGAGTCCAATGGTGATTTCACTCTATGAAGATCTCAAAATCAAAAAATCTTTTCTGGAAAGAATTCAACATGGCCCCATTGATCAAAAGCAACTCCAATCTTTCTTTGTCACAGAGATTAGAGATGTGGTCTTGAAGATGTTGGTGGATGTTGACTCTTATATCGTCAATACTTTCACAAAGAATGAAGGAAATTTTGGAACGGCGATTGGCAGTCTCTTTCAGCTTTCACCTGAGTTTTCCTTTCGAGCAAAACAGATTGACTTGTACAAGAAAGAGATTTTGGAAATTCACAATGATGCCTTAATTGGTCCCTCTGTGACAACAATCAAAGATGTTGGAGAAGTTTCATTGAAAACCAGGAGCAGAACTCTCAGCTTTCTAATGGATGAAAAGATGGTAGGCTTTCAGGATGAGGCAACTGCACTGCTGGACAGGCTTACTGGCGGGGAACAGATGCAGCTTGAAGTGATTTCCATTGTTGGGATGGCAGGAATTGGCAAGACAAAATTGGCAAAAACATTGTACAATGATCCAGTTGTTGTTCATCACTTCCATGTACGAGGATGGGCAACCACTAGTGATAGTGGTCTACTTGAGGTAAACAATATATTGCAGGACATCTTAAGTTGCATTATCAATGCCAAAGAAAACGTAAATAAAATGACTTACAAGCAAATGGAAGAGAAGTTAATGAACTGTTTAAAGGGGAAGAGATATTTGATTGTGATTGATGGTTTAAGGAACTGGGATCCATTTTCTCTGAGGGGCTTTGGTAGATTCTTCCCAAATGATTGTGCTGGTAGTAAAATTTTGTTGACTAGCAGGACCAAAGAAGTAGTTTTGAGATTGAACCCAAGCAGCCCCCTTCATTTTTTGCGCTATTTAAGCCATAGTGAGAGTTGGAGATTATTTGAGAGTAAAGTATTTACCAATACGAGATGCCCCCTTGAGTTGATGGAAGTAGGAAAGGAAATTGTTTCAAAGTGCTGTGGACTCCCACTTTCAATTGTTGTTTTAGCTGGAGTTCTACAGAAAGATATCTCGCGAGAGTGGTGGATGCATATTGCTGAAGATATGACTTCGGCTGTTAGGGGTGAAGAAGAACAACTCATGCATATTTTAGCCATTGGTTATGAGCACTTGCCTGACTGGTTGAAACCATGCTTTCTTCATCTAGGATCATTTCCTAAAGGCTATGAAATCCCTGTCAAGAAATTAGTCCGGTCATGGACTGCTGGGAGATTCATAAAGCATAATGGAGAAAAGAAAACGGAAGATGTAGCAGACGATTATCTGTCGTATCTAGTTGACAGAAGTCTAGTTATAGTTTCCAAGAGAAGATCCAATGGTGGGATAAAGACTTGCTATATCCATGATTTCTTGTGGGATTTATGTCTCAAGAAAGCTAAGGATAACATGCTGCTGAGGCCAATTTGTATTTATGAACAAACTTCTCTTTTCTCAACTGCTCAGTTAACTTTTCTTCTCTACTATGCTCAAGGTGTACCAGATCTAGATCCACCTTATCATTTCTTTGATTCTCTGAAAGACTTGAGGATAAGTTTTCCTAAGACGGAATCATTAGTGACAAAACTTCTCATAGTGTTGGATTTAGAAAACATCATCCTACAAGTCTTTCCTCTAGAGATATTAGTGATGGTTCATTTGAAGTACTTGTCACTTAATATTCCTTCCCTGAGGAAGCTTCCACTCCTGTGTAACTTTTGGAACCTGGAAACCTTCATTCTTGTCACAGAAAAGGGGGCAACTGTCACCTTACCACATGACATTTGGAAAATGGTAAACCTAAGGCATTTGCACATTTCAGGGGAGCTGGAATTTGAAAGAGCCTGTTCAAGTTCTTCAAGTCCCTTTATGCTGGACAATCTGCAAACCATTTCTCAGTTATGTCCTTCAAGTTGTATCAAGGATATATTGGCAAAGATGCCCAATCTAGTAAACTTAGGATGCATTCTATCTTTTTCAAACACTGCTAAAGATTTTCTGTTCCATGATCTTTCCATTTTAAAACTACTGGAAACATTAAAATTTGATATTCAAACTTGGGGAACACTACAGTTCTGTTACAGTAGTCCTCAACCAACTTCATTTCCTCCAAGCTTGAAGAAGCTGACTCTGATAGGTAGTCTGGATTGGAAAGAGATGTCAACCATTGGGAGGTTGCCAAACTTAGAAGTTCTAAAAGTGAAAAACAATTTCTTCAATGGACAGCAATGGGAAACTAGTGGTGAGGGGTTTCATCATCTCAAATTCTTGAAACTTTCACATACAAATCTTCAACGCTGGATTGCCTCGAGTAGCAGCTTCCCTTGCCTCGAGCACTTGGTGCTGCATAGATGTCTAGTACTGGAGGAAATACCACCTAGCATTGGAGATATCCAAACTCTGCAGATGATTGAGGTCAGTCATTCATCACCAGCTGCAGCAGATTCTGTTTGGCAAATTCAAGAATCACAGAAGTATATGGGTAATTTTGAACTCAAGGTCTGTGAAGTGGAATAGAGGGATCTTTCAGTCTTTGATGTCTGAGCATTTATGGAAATAGAAAAGAATTTTCAGAAAGTTTGAAATGGCTTCTTAGGTTTCAATCATTCGCTGCATAAATTGTTATTAGGGGTGTGATATGATATTTAAAGCTCAGTAATTCCAGTTTTGGTTTCATTTTAATGACAGGAATTGAATCAAACTGTTGTCAACATTTTGCCTGGTTTCTCAGCTCTGCAAGTTTTGGTCTTACTTCGACCAATGCCATCTGCCAATAGCATGTAAATAAATAACTACAATTTTCAGCTGCTGTTAAAATTTTTTGTACGGTGTTTCTCCATATGTTCATTCCCTCATGATTCTTGTAAAAAAAATTCATAATTGTTAAACCAAGTTTATTAGTTTAGAAGGTACCGTATATATTTTTTTAGCATTTCATTCTCAAGCAAAGTTTTCAGTTGCTTTCTTGTTTTAATAACATCTATACTATTTCTAATCCATTCCAAATTAGAAGGAAGAACACAATTGAGTCATGTAAGGGGCTAAAGGGAAAATTTTATCCAACTCATATGAATGCACTATCCTACCTTCTACGGATTTTTTCATCAATAGGTGCTGGATTTTTAACATTCGGCCGATAGGCCAAAGACAAGTTGGTTTGTCTCATCATTAATTTATTGGGTTTAATTTGTTTCTTACTCACCGAATCGTGGGGTGTAAGTAGGATACTTTTTGTTGGTATATTCAATTGACAAAGTTGAAGAGCATCTTGTTCCAATGGTTCAACAAAGCGCCATATATTATCACATTCCTAGTTTCCTCCATTGAAAGAGGAAAAACGGAGGCAAAACTTTGGGAAGCAAAGGTGCAAAAAGATAGTTTTTTTGGGGGGTAAAATACATTTTATCTCCTTGTGATTTGGTGACTTTTCACATAATCTCCCTATTAGTTTTAAAATCTGTGCATAATCTCTTATGATTTGGATAAAAGTGTCAAAATAACGGAAATGATTCTCTGTAACGAAATCCAAGAAAATGTCGAGATTACCTTTGTTTAAACTAAAATGGTTGAAGTGACTAAAATATATAAATATAATATACATGACACTTTAACCCCTTTATAATTTTATAATTTATCACATAACTCTCTTATAGTTTAGTGTTTTACTATATAATTCTCTTATAATTTTCAAAATATATACATAACCATAACCCCTTATGGTTAATAAAATATTTTCAACTTTATATAGGGGTACTTTTGATATTTTAGTTGATTTTATTATGAAATGTAAATTCTATCACTTTAACGTTTTAGTTCAAACTATGAGAATGTTGTATATAGCTTTTGAAATCACGGGAGAATTAAGTGGAAAAGTGCTAAACCACATGGAGGTAAATGGAAGTAAAGTGTGATTTACCTTTTTTTTTTTTTTTTTTTTGGATAACTCTCTCATGTTGTTCCATAATATCACTTAGGAACGGGAGGCAAAACATTTCACGGGCTACTCTGCATTGTGCTAGGCCAAGGATAGAGCGAGCATACAACCAACTGTATAAGGTTTAGAGTCCAAACTGTAGGATTAGACATCTTTGGGAACAGGGCAATAACACAGCTATACCTTCTTTAAAAATGTGATTAATGGGCTCACTATGCATAGTGAGATTAAGACATGAGGAAAAGGGTATTTGGGTCGGGAATAAGGAAGTATTATACATCATGGTAACATAGTCCTTAGGAATTATACATTTTATCATCATTGCCATTACTTAGCCCTTAAATTAGCTTTTTTTTTTTGTGAAAATATAAGGGTAGATTAATAGTAATTAGTAACCCTCTTGTATAAAAGTTTTTTTCACTTTATATAAAAGCATAAGAGGGTTATATGGCTATTTTAAAATCTTAGAGTGGATTATGTGGCATTGTGCAAAATCACAAGGGGATTACATGTAATTCACCTTTGAAAAATTGTCTAGCCATGCATGGGAGTCAAACTTAAACTTAGCGTGTGTTTGATAAAACTAAAATATGAATTCTAAATTTTAAAATCTAAAGTCTAAAATCTAAATTTGTTAAACAATTAAATTGTTAAATATTAAAATCCTAACATTTAAGCGTATTTTGCATTAAATGATAAGTAAATAATTTTTTACTTATTTTTTTGGAGTAAGTCTTGCCTAGGTAATTGAAATCTACTTAATTAATTAACACGTTCTATTTTTTGTTATCAAATACGTTTGTACATGTTACGGTCTAAACTTACTAAATTTAAGTACTGAATTATGTTATCAAATAGAGCTTTAATCTAGTTTGATTATCTCAAAACTACAAAATTGTAGTCAACGCAACTGCTTATGATAACTTGGTCTCATGTAATTGCCCTAATATATCACACTAATTAGGTGGTTCAATCGACCTTGATTGCTTCTCGGAGTGCATTTCGTCAATGCTTACCCAGTCACGAAAGCCTCCAGGCTCCAACCACTCGGTAGACTAGTTATCTTCTGTCGCATTTGAATTAAAGACAAAATTAATAAACAAGTATTTATTAGCCTAAACCGAACGCTTGATTCTGTTATGGATCGGGTTTGCTTGTAGACTATCCTGGAATCAGTAGAGATGGTCTACTAGAAAGCCCGGTCAAAATCATCCATAAAAGGCCGCCTCAAATGAAACAAGTCAAGAAGTACCTCAGTGATCAACCAAAACAAAAAATTGTTACGACATTTGAGAATAGAGAGAGATGGATGAAGCTCACACAGTTGTAGAGTTTCTACTTGAGGATCTTGAATTGATGTTGGAAAAGGCTAGTTCCCCATGTTCAATGCCTGTCAAAGAAAATCAAGTTATGATTTCTCTCTTTGAGAATCTCAAAATCATAAAATCCTTCCTGGAAAGAACAAGAGAATCCCCCTTTGACCAAAGGCAACTCCACTTTTTCTTGGTTACAGAGATTAGAGAAGTGCTCTTGAAGATACTACAATCCGTGGACCCTTATGAAATCAATGCTCTCACGAAGAATGGTGGAATCTCTGGAATGGAGACTGGTAGTTTGTTCAAGAGTTATCCAGAGCTTGCTCTTCAAGCAAAACAGATTGAATTATTCAAGAACGTGATCTTGGAAATTCCTCATGATGCCTTGAGGTCTTCCATGGAATCCAATGAAGTGGCAGAAGTTTCAGGTGAAGTTTCATCAATAACCAAGAGCAGCAGTTCCATTCAGTTGGAGGAAGACAAGATGGTAGGTTTTGATGATGAAGCAATCACACTGCTGGACAGGCTTACAGGGGATCAGAAACAACTGGAAGTGATTTCCCTTGTTGGGATGGCAGGAATTGGGAAGACGACTTTGGCTAAAAGATTGTACAATGATCCACGAGTTGTTTATCACTTCCATGTTCGCGGATGGGCTTGTCTAGCAGAAGGACAGAAGGTAAAGAATGTGCTTTATAACCTATTAAGTTCAGTTATCCTTGACAATGCCTCTCTGCATAAAATGACTAATCAGGAAATGGGAGATAAATTATACGAGTATTTAAAAGGGAAGAGATACTTTATTGTCCTTGATGCTATATGGGGTTCATTCATTTGGAATTCATGGTTGAAACAGTATCTTCCAGATGATAATACTGGTAGCAAAATTCTTGTTACTTGTCGTATGCAAAATGTGGTTATAGAAATAAGTGCTCCTGTTTCCATCCATAATTTGCAGTTTCTTGGTCAGATTGAAAGTTGGAATTTATTTGTGAGTAAAGTTTTTGCTCACAATGAAAGCTGTCCTAGAGAGCTAATGGAATTAGGTAGTGAAATTGTTGGAAGAAGCAAGGGACTGCCCCTTGCAATTGTAGTTTTGGCTGGAGTAGCAAAGAAAGATAAGACGCCAGAGTGGTGGACTTATATTGTCCAAAATATTGGTTCATGTATACATGGTGAAGAGGGACAGTTCATAGATATTTTAGCATCAAGTTATGAGCACTTGCCTAATCACCTAAAATCCTGCTTTCTTCATATTGCATCATTTCCACAAAACTATGAAATCCCTGTGAAGTTAGTGTGGTCGTGGATTGCAGAGGGATTTATAAAGGACACTAGAGAAGAGAAACTAGAAGATGTGGCGGAGGATTATCTGAGAGATCTTGTTGATAGAAGTTTAGTTGTTGTATCCAAGAGAAGGTCCAATGGTGGCATAAAGACGTGCTATATCCATGATCTGTTGAGATATTTATGTTTCAAGAAAGGCAAAGATAGCAAATTGTTGTGGCCAATTTGCAGATATCGACAGCTCTCTCTTTTCTCGCCTTCCCATCCTACCTTGTATAACTACTTTTTTGCATGTGCTGCAGAAAATAAATTGATCCATTGCCGCAAGAAGCAAGAGCCAACTTCTGGATGCTTCCATTCTTACAGTTTCCACCATGTCCAGTCAAATCATGTCAATATCACCCACTTGAGTATATATCTTGATGAACAAAAGTCCCTTGTATATAAGCTTCTCAGAGTGTTGGATTTAGAGTACATCATCCTAGAAAACTTCCCCATGGAGATACTGCAGCTAGTTCACCTAAAGTACTTGGCACTCCGGATTTTTTGCCTCAGATATCTATCCCTGCTGTCAAACTTTTGGAACTTAGAAACTTTCATTCTTTGTACTGAAAAAGCAAGTGTGACTTTGCAACAAGATATTTGGAAGCTGGTAAAACTAAGGCACTTGCATATCTCAAGTGAGCTGGAATTTGAAGATGCTGGTTTGAGCTCCTCAAGTCCCTTGATGTTGTATAATCTGCAAACAATTTCCCAAGTATGTCCTTCAGGTGGTTCTTTCCAGAACATATTGGCGAGAATGCCAAATCTTATAAGGATGGGATTGCATCTAACTTTGTCAAACAATGCCAAAAATTTTGAGTTCCCTGATCTTTCTAGTCTAAATTCGTTAAAGAGGTTAAAATTTGAGTATCAAACTTTAGGTGTGATAAAATTCTGCCTTCCTCAGCCAAGTAAATTTCCTCCTAACCTGAAGAAGCTGACTCTAGTAGGTAGTCACTTAGATTGGAAAGAAATGTCAGTCATTGCAATGCTACCAAACTTGGAGATTCTGAAAATAAAGGACAATTTCTTTAGTGGACCACTATGGGAAGGAAGCGACAAGGAATTTTGTCATCTCAAGTTCTTGAAACTTTCACACATAAATCTTCAACAGTGGATTGCCTCAAGTAGCAGCTTCCCTTGCCTCGAGCAATTGGTGCTTAATGGATGTCTAGATCTGGAGGAAATTCCATCCAGCTTTAGAGAGAACTGTACACTGGACAGAATTGAGGTGTATCGTTCATCACAGTCTGCATTAGATTCGGCTAGGCAAATTCGAGAATCACAGAAATACATGGGGAATGACAAATTGAAGGTCATCATTCACCCGTACTTCAAAGAAAACTAGAGAAACTTTCTAGTCAAAGATGTTCTCATCCAAGCATCGTAAGTTAGCAAGCAGAAGTGCATTGCATTTCATTTCGACAGCCATCTTTCTTTTGATGTATGACATTTAAAAGTTCAGCTTTCAGCTATTTGAATGGAAGAGTCATCAACTTGTTATCTGGCTTCTCAATCAGCTCTACTGGATCCTCCTCAATGCGTCAAGATCTTTTGATGTCGTGAGCCAACTACATTTAAACATCCATCAGTTGTTGCCGAAGTCTCTTGCTCAATTCATAGCATGTTCATCACCTCATGATCATTTCCCAATATGTAATTCAGAAAACTGAATCCAAAACCTTGGTAGTTTCACTTCTTTGTTATTCTGCTTTTTGTCTATACCATTTTTTGATTTGCTTCATTTAATTCTTTATCTTATTTCAATTTATCTTGTCTAACATGCCAAGAGCATAAAATCATACCAATTTAAGAAAAGGACAAAAATAACAAAGTTCGAAGGCTAACTCAGCACGTACCTGTATCGATATTCATCGATACTCCTAAAGAAATCCATGCTATGTCTAGTAGCTTTGGTCTTAGTTTGTTCTTCTGAATTTTACCTTTAATGCAACAGCTTTCCAGGCTGCTCCAGTTCTGATCATTCATATGATGTCTTTCTCTACTGCTTAGAAGAAGAATTGTGGCTCCATCTAGTGCAAGTGAAAGAGTAGTGAATCTTAAAAAAGTCTGAGGTTCTTTCATGCTTTACAAGAATTCATAAGTCAATGAATTATTCCCATGTGTTATCTTATTCATATCTCCTGTTTTTTAGTCTTCTAAACTGCAAGCCTTAGCTAGAGAACGTGTGCTACACTAGCTCATGTAGTGGAAAGTAGAAACCACTATTATCAGCCGTGAGTTGCAGAAGTTTAGCCAACTTTCTGCATCCAGAAGTAAAAACAGAAGAATCGGAGTGTTAAACTGCAGAATTTTAAGGAAATATAAGCACTATAGAGCTGATAAATGAAATCACTGAAACATATAATTGTGTCATATAAAATAGCAGGAAAAATCAATTGTAATAAGACACATTAAACTTGTCTGAATAATTGGCCAATTTGTTTTCAGATTATTTATATTATAACTGGTGGTTTAAAAATATATCAACCACACTAACCATTCAGAGAAGTTTGTAATTTTTCTGGCTATGAGATGTGATCCGTGCTCGACAATGTGAACTGATATTCATAAGATTTCTCCAAATTGACATACAGTTTGAATATGCAATCAGGATTATTTTTCCAACAGGTTCTGCTTATGGCTTCTATGATACTTGCAGTTCAACTGCAAACAGAGAAAGGATCACTTTTCCTGTTGTTTTTAATGTATTCTGGAATAGTTGACAGAGGCTACCTATTGAGTTGAGAAAGTCATGGAATAATCTTTTCCAAATTACCTAGCACATAGAGTAGCATCTGAAGTAGCAGGCCATTGGGTTTTTCTCATAACAGACTTAGTACAAAAATACCTAAATCAGAGTAACAATTTGCCCTTGCCCAATTATTTAAAATTATGCTGCCTTTTATCTTGGAACATTTCCTCAAAACCATGAAATCCCCGTGAAGAAATTAATCAGATCATGGACAGCAAAGGGATTTACCTTGTCTAATGAAGAAAAGAAAGTGGAAAATGCAGAAGAAGGTTATTTGAAAGATCTTGTTGACAGAACTCTAGTGATCTGCTATTTTTACAAGCGCACATAGCCATCATGGAATATTCTAAGGGTCGAACCAGGATGAGTCAATTTTTTCTACTTTAATTATTTTAGAAAATAATAAAATTCAAATTCAAATATACTTAAAATTATAAATAAATAATCATGGCAAATTAAATAGAGTTGAGAAAACACTTGACAAAAAATTAAGGTTTCAGATTTTGATCCAGAGTTTTAATTAATTATCCAATTATTTTTCTTAATATGGCAAGAATGTATCACACATAGATATTTTAAATTATCTCTCCATACATCTAAATTGTGCTCAATTAAATCTCACATCTCTCTTGAAATCATAAGTATTTAATTAAATCCTTTAAGATCTTATGTGATTTAATTACGCCATACAAATCCTAACCTACTCTCATTATTACGCTAAGTATGTTTATTTATTTAGTACACGATTGTATATCTCTTCTCAGTTCAATACAATTCTTAAAAGCACGTGTATGGTGGCTAAATACAAGCATGTAATTAAAATAAAACAGATAAATCAAGACAAAAGTAAAGAATTTAACTAAAATAATTAACCAATACTCTTTCACAAAATCCTAACCCTAGTAACAGAGTAGTTTAACATAAACATGATATAAATCAAGAATTCAAGAAAAGAAATACAATTTAGAAAATAAAGTAAGAAAAACTTCTCAATTTTTGATTCTCTAGTCCCCGCGTTGATTGCTCATTGATTCCGACTGACGTTCTCTTGATCTCTCTAACATACTTTTTTTTTTTTTTTTGTCAATTGTCATCCCTACTCCTACTCTATCTACGGGGGAGGCTCAACTGAGCCTATGGGGACCGATGGGGACAGAACCACCACCGAACCAGACGGGTGCACTACACACCCATCTGGATTTGAAGCAGAGCCACAAGAGTGGCATTTTGGTGGGAGGTAAGGTTTGAACCCTTGCCTCCCACCCCACCAAAGCCTTAAGGGCTTGGTGGTGGCCACCAGCCCAAGAGCTGGTGGTTATCTCTCTAACATACTAAATAACCCTAATTTAATGCTTTCTCACCCTAAAAGTATTCTAGATAATTCTAATTTTTTAAAATAACCCAAATATGGTAGGACTGGGCTTTTTGGAGCCAACAAAATTCACATTTGTGCCAAATTCCAATGAAGTCCAGCCCAATGACTGTCTTGCTGTTTGGCGCCAGTCATTGGGCGAAGCTGAAACTAGAAGAAGATTGGCCTGATGTCCAATTTCATGTCTGGCGTTGGTTCTGGTGAATCCGCCCACGGGTCCAAATAGGGCTGTCAACGGGCTGGGTCCGGGCCGGAATTCATTATTCCGGACCCGGACCCGAATTACTATGCTGGATCCGGATCCGACCCGTTTACCCGACGGGTCTTTTATTCTATGTTCCGGATCCGGATCCGACGGGTCCCGGATCCGGATCCGGGTCTACCCGAACAAATTTACCAAATTTTATAATTTCTAATAAAAATGAGAAAAAAATATATTTGTAAACTAATTTCTAACTAATGCAAAGAAAAAATCAAATAAGAAAAGAAATCAAAATTAACTTTATTAAAATACATCACCCTAATCAAATTATATTGATAAATATATATTTTTTAAATTATTAATTCATTTATATCCGGATCCGGGTCTAATACGGGTCGGAATACTATATTCCGTATCCGACCCGTTTTTTTGTTTGACAAAACGGATCCGGATCCGGATCCGGAAAACGGAATTAAATCCCTACCCATACCCGCAATAATTTCACGGATCCGGTCCGGATCCAGGTCTAGACCCGACCCGTTGACAGGCCTAGGTCCAAATGATACTAGCAGCCCTCGTTTGTTACTTGTTCCACCTTTGTTCCATTGCTTTTTCGCCAAATTGAGCTCAAATTGAGTCCAGATTGGTCCATTTTCTCTCAATTTGGGCTCTCCTTCCTTTTTTTTTTTTTTAAATCCTATACTATTACAATGAGGGATTTTGGGGAAGGGGAAATCCCATTCTATTACAAACAGGGGTGTAAGTGAGCCAAGCCTGCTCGCAAGTAACTCGAAAAATGCTCGACTTGACTCGATTTTATCGAGCTCGAGCTACTCGAGTAGTAAATCGAGTCGAACTCGAGTTTCAAAATAATAAACTCGAGTGCTCATGAGCTTAATCGAGCATATGTATTAAATATATTAAATATATATTTTGTATTTATAATATTACTTATAACATGTGGATTTGTCAAGAAAAACCTAAAACCTTACTTTTTCTCCATCAACCGCTATTGCTCTTTCTTCTTCACGACTTTTGACTTTCACCAAAAACTCTCCTTCATCCTTCGTCCTCTTTGACTATTTCTTCCATTTGCCCAATTGGTATGATCTCTCTTTCTTTCCATCTTCTTCTTGTCTGATGGCTCGTTGACTTATTCTTTAATCAATTCTTTTTTTTTCTAGTTTCTAAAACTTTTAGCTTCTTGGATCTTGTATCCCAAAATGATGAGTACTGATTATCTACGAAGTGATGAATACTTATTGCTGAAGGCTACAAGATGGAAACCTTATTTGCCTTTTCAACTTCGTTGTTTTTGGGATCCCTGATTGATGACTAGATTTGATATGATTTGTATTTTTTCTTTGGATATTTGTGTTTTAATATTTGCTTTGTAGTTCACAGATTTGTTCATGGTATTTGTTAATTTTATGAATTTGTTGAATTGTGGTTATTGAAATCATAAATTTTGACTTTGGGTTTGGCTTGAAATCATTTGATCTGAGTTCTATTCAGCTTGAAAATTGGTTTGAAAATAATTTTGAAGGGGAAAAAAAAAGAAAATGGGTGCTCGATTGAGCTTGAATACAAGCTCGATTAATACGCGAGTCGAGTTCAAGCCTACATTTGAAGGGCTCGATGAGCTCGAGTAGAAAGTTTCAGAGTCGAGCTCGACTTGATTCGATTACACCCCTAATTACAAAAGGAACATCTCTTGCTGCTCTTGCCTACCGACCTGGTAAGTTGCAATAAATTTTGTGAAATTGGGAACGTCTCCTACTACTCCTGCCTGTCGACCTAGCAAGCTGCAATAAAATTTGTTAACTTGATTGAGGTAGGAATCAAACCCTTGACCACTGGGAAGAAGCTCCAAATGACAAATGGCTCGATCCCCTCATCACGTACCTTATATGTGATCATTTTTTAGGAGTAAAATTGTCAAATTAAAATTTATATTATCCGATCTATAGTCATTTACATTTCACAAAATGAATTGTTTCGTCCCTCACATTTCACAAA